TTCTTCTCCCTAATTATCTCTCTATGTGGGAGGAACGTCACCATCCTAACCCTAATAACAGTATTTTTTCCCTAAAATTGGTGCTGGAGCTCTTGGTTCCCTTATAATCAAATGCGATATATTTATGGCTTTAATAACTATCAATGTTGAAAGAGTTAAATTGCTTCTCACTGTTGTTTTAATAGACTGAAGTGTTAATCTCCTTAGTTACTTCTAGTTTTCCCCAAAGAAAAGTTGTCTTTGCTTGTACTTCCATCTATCACCACTAGTGTCACTTTTTCCCAACTCAGTCCTATCTCTAATCCCTGACTTTCAAACTTTTGATTATAAAAAATACACCTATAATTACCTTGATCTCCCTGCTGGGAACTGTAACTATAGATACTCAATCACCCTCAATCTTCTCTTATCATTCAGCAACACATACTTTCTCAATGCATCTGCTCCTAACAGATCTAAACTCCTACCATATCTTCCCACTTAAACTTTAAAATGTCCTTCACCACTGTTCTCTCTCTCTTACTACTAACTTTGAAACTTAGCTTACTGTCTTAGAGTTCCTTCAACCTAGTTCTCCTAACTTATTTTAATCTAATCTTTTCTCTCCTAACCTTTAAAAACCTTTTCCACTGATTTATTCACAAAATCCCTTACCACCAATTTTTAGAATACGTGATTGGGAAAGTCCCCACCTGTTTCTGACTTTTTTACACACAGACTTGGCAAACGACTAAACACCTTTTAGCCTAGCCTGAAATCTCTTAGTGTAAGAATGTAACCCAGAATAAACAATGCATCTCTTTCCAATACTGCAATAACAGTATCTTCTAATATTAGTATCTTAAGAGTAATTAACTGTTTTACTACCTCAAATCCCTATCCTAATTAGTTAATTTTACATAGTGAGATGTTTAACCTCTTTAGGCTGAACCCAGATAAGTTTTTCCACTATTCACCATCCCTTCTAATGGTCGGTTGTTTTTACTTCAATTGTTGGATATTTTGTCTTCTTCTCTAATCGGTGCTATCAGCTGGCACCCCCCTTCCGGATCTTCTAGGCACTCTAGAATCTTTAGGGTTCACCTGGAGAACAGGTGATCTTGAATTGCCCCTGTATCTTCCTTAAAAATGTTCTCTGTTTTTCCTCCTGACTTGTTGCACTCACAGGTAAAGTAACCAACCTGTCCATAATTATAACAGTCTTCTGAAAGTTGCTGGAAGTGTAGCTGAAATCTTCCTCCTCCTTCTATTTCTTCTCGTCCTCTTCCTCTCCAATTCTGTGTCTGTCCAGAAACTGGCTGTGGATATGGAACATCTGGTACCCCCCTTGGCTGGTACAATTGCATTTGATATTGTTCAGTTGAAGCTGTAACAGTGATTGTTGATTTGGTTCACTCTGATTCTTCATAACCAAAGCTTCTCTTCTCCACCAGTTGTATGATTGAGTTTTCTGAGAGTTTCTTGATCTGTTCTTTCTTGCTGTTGACATATCAGGATTCTTCAAAAGCTTATATTCTAAGTTCTGTCCTCAAAATATCATCTTCCATCATCTTCTTACTTCTCTTCAGCTGCTTGGCCTCAATGTATTCTTCTTCTCCTCCAATTCTTGGGATTATTTTCTCAGCAGGTTTTCTCCTTGTCTCTTCAGCTGTGTTACTTCTTCTAAACTATTTGCTTTATCCAGGCATGATAAACATCGGTCTATATCTCTATTCCTTCTTTGCCAGTCATTGTAGGATAAAATCCTCTTGAACATAAAGCACCTTTAATCTCCAAATCTTCATCGCTTTCTTCATCTGAACTCGAATCTCTTGTATCCTTCTTCCTTCAACTTCCATCAGAGATCAAATCTCTAGTATCCTTCTTCTTTCCTCTCTTGCCAACTTCCTTCTGATCACAGAGTCATATCCACCCATGACCTCTTCTCAATCACTCATCTTCATCATCTTTAAGTTCCATCCTCCTTAACCTCCCTCTTTTCTTCCAGACATCACATTTTCTTCCTTCTGGAGTTTTGATTCATCTTCATCGTCGTTTCTGCTTGTCCTCTATCTATTATTCATCTTCATCTCTGATGCAACAATCACCCTCCTGGCTGATCACTGAAAGCTGAGGATAAACATCCCTAAGCTCTCCTTCCTTCTCATAAGGTGGGTGTCTTACCGCTGAATCCGTATGTGAGAAAGGTGTACTAACTTCTGCCATTAGTTTCTCCTAACACTACTTTAGTTAAAGGATTACTATTTTCCCCCTATATCAACCCTTTTATATTCCTTTATTGTGAATTATTTTATTTTAGACTGTATAGCCTATGGCTTCCCCCCTGTAATTATTAATATAAACCTAACAACTCAACAAAAAAAAACTAAACAAAAAAAAAAAACTAAAATATGATTAATATTAAAACCAATTTTTATTCCTATATCCTATGTCACCAATTTATCAATTAGTGGTGGCTATCTTACCACAACCCATCAAATGCAAGTAGTCCCCTTCAGACTAAAATACCCATAAACAAAGCCTCTAACCCTATCATTACTACAATTCCCATAAACCCCCTTGCTCTATAGGCACCTAATTATCTTAAATTTACAGAATAATGTCAGTCCTTGATTCCCAACACAACTCCAATCAAACCCCAGTGATGCACAGAGCCTCCAAAATGCAATTTTTAATGAATCATTTGCCAAGCCTATGTAAAATTGTCATAACATCACATATTTTGCAAGGGATGATTTTGTGAACTAGCCTGATATCTGATCCTCTGCCTCGTCACGTGATGTCACGTCAGCACTTCCTGTATCTCCTCTCTCTCTCTCTCTCTCTCTCTCTCTCCTGTCTCTCATGACAAGGGAACAAAGACACAGAAACAGCTTTTAGTAGTTAATGCAATCACTGAGTATTTCCAACCATTCCATATTCGTTCGTTCTACATTATTCACTCTCAGACTAAACTCAGAACTAAATAGATCGCTCAAAAACATTTTTATTTTATTTTAATCCGTCATTTAATGTAATTCATTATACTCCGCCAACATATATTTAATGTATAAATTCACTACATCTCAACAAATAGTTTAATGTTCAAACCCCAGCCGCTTTAAACTACAAGATTCGTGTTAAAATATCTCCTCTTTGTTCCCACGTCTGTGTCTCCCTGTCTCCCCCTGCAGTGTAACAGATGTGTTGTTTAGTAAAATCCCACGCATGCGCGATACATTCTAAAATACTTTTTCACCGTGGAAGGTGAAACAGACAGTTAACAGTCCGGCTGTAACTCCTTTTCCCCCTCATAATCAAACAACATTTAACAGCGCTTACAAAACATAGAACCGAAATTCCACATACAAACATAATTTAAGAGGCTTTGTTACCATCGCAGTGGACCTCTAAGGTTAAGGTTATCATGTAGCACGCAACACAATTAGCATTTAGCTATTAGCATTAGCATTAGCTTTTAGGTACAATGTGACACAACACACATTTAGCATTTAGCATTAGCATTAGCCTTTAGGTACCATGTGACACAACACACATTTAGCATTTAGCATTAGCATTAGCCTTTAGCCAACTGCGGCCTACAACATGTAACAAAACCCACATTGCGTCTTTAATTACTGTTTCGTTTGTCCTAAATTTATTCTGCCGTGAGTATGGCTATTTAAATGAGCGGTCCCACCCACGCAAATATCCCGTCGGACAGAAGATGATGTCACGGTTTCGGCCGAGGCTGCTCCTCCTCCTGGTTCGGGCAGGCTTCGGCGTTCGCCGTCCCCGGAATACTAGCTGCCACCGTTGTATGTTTCGTGTGTTGATTGCTTTGGTCTGTCTGGTACACCTGTGTCTGTTTGTGTCCTAATTACGTGTCCTATAAGTTCCCTGTTTTGTGTTAGTTATATTGTGTGTTGTTGTCCGCGTGTCTTTTGAGCTGCGTGTTTTGCGCTCTTCATGGTATTTGTTTTACGCATGTTGCGTACTGTTTCTCGCCTCTGTATTTTTCGAGGTCGTGTATGGATTATTGTGCACTTTACTAATAGTAAAGTTTGTTGGACTAAACCTCTGTGTCCTGCGCCTGACTCCTCATCACATCCACATCGGTACCATACTGACAGATGAGCAGCCAACCCCCAAGAAAATGTCCCACCAACCCCAGTCCAAGACTGACCTGAAACTCCTAACGCGTTGCCAGGATTTTGTGGCCCACCATGCGGTCGCCCCGTTCGTCACGAGGGCTTATCTAAACCTGCAATGCTCTAAAATTGTATACATATCTTGGCCCCGATTGTTCTTGACTTACTATTCAAGCAACACATCTCTATAAACAATCCATAAACTCTAACCACTTTTGCGCTGTTTTTAAAATTGTATAATGATTAGCCAGACCCCCCAGTCATCAGCAAAAACGCCACCCGAGGCACGGTCGTAATGGTACATTCCTCCAGTGTACACAGGCAGCAACAAAACTAACAACTTAGCTGTGAGGAACACTCACCTTGGCTGGTCATGACTCCAGACCGAGTTAGCCTGAGTTAGCTTGGCGGCTACAAATGCAGCAGAGGAGGATTGCAGACCACTCCTGGCAAGCTCGCCATTTGTCGTATCGAGTGAGTGGTGGCAATTATTGCTGATGAACAAAAGGAGTCTGCTCATACTGAACGTTGATCATAAGGTTTATTCAGATCACAAGCTTCAGCATGAGTGACAGGTGACATGACACCCGGAGAGTGACGCCTCAGAATGGCTGCTCGTTCTGCCCTCTCCTTCGTTTCCCCCCTATTTATCTCCCTCTTCTGGCCAATCACCAGTCTCCCCTGGGGCGTCACCCTAAAACATTCCCTTTTGATACTAACATAAACAACATTCCTTTCTTCATGAAAAACATTTAACAAAGACATAATCTTAATACACTACAACGCCTTAATATGAATATGTGTTTTGTTTTAAATCAGTAGCCAGTAATTCTATTCCCATCTTAAATTCGTTCACACTTGTTGTTTTAGACACCTCCATGTTGGATGTTCCAGCTCTGCGGCTGACCACTCTGGAGGAGCTCACTGAAGAACAGCTGAAGACATTTCAGTCTTACTTGACTATTGGCTGGATGTTAGGCTTTCCTCCCATCCCTAGAGAGCCAGCTGGAGAACGCTGACAGACAGGACACAGTGGATCAGATGGTGAAGAGATACAACCCCAAGAGAGCTGTGAAGAACACACTGATGATCCTGAGGAGGAAGCAGCTGGATGATCTGACAGAGAAGTTACAGAGAGATCACGGAGGAGGTAACACAGCAAGACAATAGATCTATCATTATACGATCGGTTCCATGGTGGGATGTTAAGAGATTATATTCACACAAGATCCATCCTGCTGTTGCTGAGCTGAAAATGTCAAGTAAAATGAAAAACAAAAAGCAACTGAAAGCAACTGACTCCATAATAACATTGAATAGGCCCCTCTTTAATTTATTGTGTGTATCCAGGTGATGTCATTGTGATTAAACAGCACTCAAACTATCCTACATAAAATCAATAACACAGTGGTTCAGTGGTTCAAAGACACTTACATTTTTTGTCTTGCCAATTCACCCTCTGAATGGCACACATACACAATCCGTCTCAACTGTCTCAAGGCTTAAAAATCCTTCTTTAACCGGTCTCCTCCCCTTCATCTACACTGATTGAAGTGGATTGAACACATGACATCAATAAGGGATCATAGCTTTTCACTTGGATTTACCTGGTCTGTCTATGTCATGGGAAGAGCAGGTGTTCGTAATGTTTTGTACACTAAAAATGTTTAGTATTATTGGAGATGGACTTTGAGGGTTACTTACAATGTCTTTCTATCTGCAGCTCTCTCTCTCTCTCGCTGTACCTCTCTTTCTCTCTGTAGCTCTCTCTCTCTGTAGCTCTCTCTCTCTCTGAAGCTCTCTCTCTCTCTGTAGCTCTCTCTCTGTAGCTCTCTCTCTCTCTCTCTCTCTGTAGCTCTCTCTCTCTCTCTCTCTCTTTGTAGCTCTCTCTCTCTGTAGCTCTCTCTCTCTCTCTCTCTCTCTCTCTCTCTCTCTGTAGGTCTCTCTCACTGTGTAGGTCTCTCTCTCTGTAGCTCTCTCTCTCTCTGTGTAGGTCTCTCTCTCTCTGTAGGTCTCTCTCTATGTGTAGGTCTCTCTCTCTGTAGCTCTCTCTCTCTCTCTGTAGGTCTTTCTCTCTGTGTAGCTCTCTCTCTCTCTCTCTCTGTAGCTCTCTCTCTGTAGCTCTCTCTCTAAAGGAAAGAAAATGAAAATTACTGGTAGTTCTTCTAGTGTGTGTGTGTATGGAGGCATTGGGCAGCAAAGACACTGGAATCCAACAGGACAAAGATGAACTGTTCACAGTGAGGAGGAGAGGGGATGGAGACAGAAGAACAGAAAACAGGTAAACTTGACATGGAAACATACTTCTATATCAGCAATATTTTCTATCTATTCTGTTGATTTGAATCTAGGAAACCCCAAAGCTGTCAGTCCTAGATCTGGATGAGCTGTTGGACTGTCCTCCCATCCTAGAGAGACCACTGAAGATGGACTGTCCTCCCATCCTAGAGAGACCACTGGAGATGGACTGTCCTCCCATCCTAGAGAGACCACTGGAGATGGCTAACAGTGTCAACACAGAGGTAGCTGTGAACACCCAGGAGAACACCCAGAGGATGGACAAGGAGTTGGGAAGAGAAAGGGGTAACAGCTATACAGCTAATATATTAATTTGGAACAAACATCTGGAAGTTGTATAGAAAAACATGATGATTGATCTATATTTGGTTATCTTTAGGTTCTCCTCTCTTCCTGGAACACCATCACATGGTAAGACCCTCACTGGACTGAGAGAAAGACTGAAATTAAAAACTATTCTTCACACTATTGGTTGAATTACAGTATCTATTGTTTCTACATTTTAGAGTTCTCCAGATGAATTTACACCTGAAATCCACGATCAGGACAACAAGGGAGAATACCGGTAATTTGATATATTTAATGTTTCTTATTGGTAGTTTGTATAAAAGAAGGACAATACCTTAAATCTAGGAAATCTCATTAAAATGAAATCCTTCATTGTTTGTTCTACAGGTTCCAGTGCCCCAGTGCAGGTCTGTTCTAGTGCAGTATAACAGGCCTGGTGTTTAGGATGGAGGGAGAGGGAGAGGTGCTCTATAGGACAGTCCCCTGGGACAGGAGGCTTCTAGCCCAGAGTGGCAAGAGACCTGCAGGACCCCTGTTCAACATTGACTGCCCTCTGAAGTCTGTCTGCCAACTACACCTCCCACACTGTCAGATTCATTCTGGTAAGTATTCATTTCAAGACCGAGCACGCCCCCATTCTCATCGACAGGGCTGTAGTGGAGCAGGTTGAGAGCTTCAAGTTCCTTGGTGTCCACATCACCAACAAACTATCATGGTCCAAACACACCAAGACAGTTGTGAAGAGGGCACGACAAATCCTATTCCCCCTCACGAGACTGAAAAGATTTGGCATGTGTCCTCAGATCCTCAAAAAGTTCTACAGCTGCACCATCGAGAGCATCCTGACTGGTTGCATCAGGCAACTGCTCGGCCTCCGACCTTAAGGCACTATAGAGGGTAGTGCGTACGGCCCAGTACATCGCTGAGCCCAAGCTTCCTGCCATCCAGGACCTCTTTACCAGGCGGTGTCAGAGGAAGGCCCTAAAAATTGTCAAAGACTCCAGCCACCCTAATCATAGACTGTTCTCTCTGCTACCGCACGGCAAGCGGTACCGGAGCACCAAGTCTAGGTCCAAAAGGCTTCTTGACAGCTTCTACCCCCAAGCCATAAGACTCCTGAACAGCTAATCAAATGGCTACGGACTATTTGCATTGAGGCCCCCCCCCCCCCCCCCCCTCTTTTACGCTGCTGCTACTCTCTGTTTATTATCTATGCAAAGTCACTTTAATAACTCTACCTACATGTACATATTACCTCAATTACCTCGACTAACCAGTGCCCCCAAAAATGGACTCTGTACTGGCACCCCCCTGTATATAGCCTCACTAATGTTATTTTACTGCTTTTATTTTTTACTTATCTATTGTTTTCTTAACACTTATTTTTCTTAAAACTGCATTGTTGGTTAAGGGCTTGTAAGCATTTCACTGTAAGGTGAACACCTGTCGTATTCGGCGCATGTGACAAATACAATTGTATTTTATTTTATTTTATTTGTATTTTCTATTGTAATATATCTGAGAAAGATCTAAATGTTCTCTTTCTTTCCCAGGTGGTGGATGTGACTTCCTGTCTGTAGCCCATGTGACTGATGACATCATTGAGTTTATCCATCCTCTTGAGATAACAGAAACACACATCATAATAAACATCACTGGATTCTCTGCTTATGGTGATGTCACGGATGATGATGCTCCCATCTCACCTATCCAGGGGCTTGTGTTGTTATTCCACCAACTGTTTGTCCCTGAAGAGAGGTCCATCCTGAATGTGTTGTTGCTTCCCAGTAATGTTGTGATCAGGGAGGTGAGCATAACATTTCAAACCCCACTTCTATCTGGCTAGAATTCCACCAAGCTGGCAGTGTCAAACGCACAACATGGAAACAATAACATGTGCCCTGTGCCTCAAGAATGCATGTTCATATACTAGTTGAAATCAAACCAGAGTCAAGTAATTACAGTGGCTTGCGAAAGTATTCACCCCCCTTGGCATTTTTCCTATTTTGTTGCCTTACAACCTGGAATTAAAATGGATTTTGGGGGGGTTTGTATCATTTGATTTACACAACATGCCTACCACTTTGAAGATGCAAAATATTTTTATACAAACAAGAAATAAGACAAAAAAAATAAGAAAACTTGAGCGTGCATAACTATTCACCCCTCCAAAATCAATACTTTGTAGAGCCACCTTTTTGCAGAAATTACAGCTGCAAGTCTCTTGGGGTATGTCTCTATAAGCTTGGCACATCTAGCCACTGGGATTTTTGCCCATTCTTCAAAGGCCAAACTGCTCCAGCTCCTTCAAGTTGGATGGGTTCCGCTGGTGTACAGCAATCTTTAAGTCATACCACAGATTCTCAATTGGATTGAGGTCTGGGCTTTGACTAGGCCATTCCAAGACATTTAAATGTTTCCCTTTAAACCACTCAAGTGTTGCTTTAGCAGTATGGTTAGGGTCATTGTCCTGCTGGAAGGTGAACCTCCGTTCCAGTCTCAAATCTCTGGACGACAGAAACAGGTTTCCCTCAAGAATTTCCCTGTTTTTAGCGCCATCCATCATTCCTTCAATTCTGACCAGTTTCCCAGTCCCTGCCAATGAAAACATCCCCACAGCATGATGCTGCCACAACCATGCTTCACTGTGGGGATGGTGTTCTCGGGGTGATGAGAGGTGTTGGGTTTGCGCCAGACCTAGAGTTTTCCTTGATGGCCAAAAAGCTCAATTTTAGTCTCATCTGACCAGAGTACCTTCTTCCATATTTTTGGGGATTCTCCCACATGGCTTTTGGCGAACACCAAACGTGTTTGCTTTTTTTTTTCTTTAAGCAATGGCTTTTTTCTGGCCACTCTTCTGTAAAGCCCAGCTCTGTTGAGTGTTTGGCTTAAAGTGGTCCTATGGACAGATACTCCAATTTCCGCTGTGGAGCTTTGCAGCTCCTTCAGGGTTATCTTTGGTCTCTTTGTTGCCTCTCTGATTAATGCCCTCCTTGCCTGGTCCGTGAGTTTTGGTGGGCGGCCCTCTCTTGGCAGGTTTGTTGTGGTGCCATATTCTTTCCATTTTTTTATAATGGATTTAATGGTGCTTAGTGGGATGTTCAAAGTTTCGGATATTTTTTTATAACCCAACCCTGATCTGTACTTCTCCACAACTTTGTCCCTGACCTGTTTGGAGAGCTCTTTGGTCTTCATGGTGCCGCTTGCTTGGTGGTGCCCCTTGCTTAGTGGTGTTGCAGACTCTGGGGCCTTTCAGAACAGGTGTATATATACTGAGATCATGTGACAGATCATGTGACACTTAGATTGCACACAGGTGGACTTTATTTAACTAATTATGTGACTTCTGAAGGTAATTGGTTGCACCAGATCTTATTTAGGGGCTTCAAAGCAGAGGGGATGAATACATATGCAAGCACCACTTTTCCGTTATATATTTTTTAGAATTTTGTGAAAACTAATATTTTTTTAATTTCATTTCAGCAATTTGGACTATTTTGTGTATGTCCATTTCATGAAATCCAAATAAAAATCAATTTAATTTACAGGTTGTAATGCAACAAAATAGGAAAAACGCCAAGGGGGATGAATACTTTTGCAAGGCACTGTATGTCAAAGTACTTGATGTGTGCTTGATTTAGCTTTGAGTTTGCACTTTTGTGACTGTTTCATTCGTTCCATTATGCAAGGCAAGCTAAAGTAAACACAGCTGATTGAAACTAACAAAGCAGATATGTATTGTGATGAAAACATATGACCTACAAGCAACATGCCTTTGATTGAAGCACAATTTATCTGTCCATTGTTGATTCTCAAGTTGCAGGATGAGAGGAAGACAAGGAATGGAGACAAAGAGACCTTCATTGAAACAACTCCTCACTGCAATCTAACCCCGAACAAACCATACATCCTCTCCACAAATATTACGCATGGATATAGGATCAACCCAACAGTAATATCTATAAGCCATAAAGAGATTCCAACTTTAGATATTTATTTAGCTGTGACCTCAGTATATTCACATTACATGTAAGATCGTAGAAACTGACTCTTGCTTTTTGTGTTCCAGACAGCAGCATTTGTGGATTTCCAGTCCGATGAAAACTACTCCAACACATTTCAGTTGTTCTTAGAAACTATAATTAAAGAAGTTGAACTTCTTCTGAAAGAAAAGGAAGGTGATGAACTTGTATGGAACAGACTTGTCTGGTTGCCAGGTAACAGACATTCAGAGCTCAAATCCAATCAAATGAAGTCAGACCTGTTGTACTGTTACATGTTTTTAGTTCTCTTACAGCGTTATTGTTATTGAACTATGATGTCATTATATCATATGATTATGGTTGGTTATAATGAATATACCTTTTTTCAGATAGTAAAACACCATCTCTTTTCATCCTCACCAACAGAACTCACCTCTACAGGTACTGTTGACCTTCCACTGACATTCACCATCAATATAAACCTCTCAATAACAAACTACAGATTCACCATCATTATAAACCTCTCAATAACAAACTAAAGATTCATCACCATTATAAACCTCTCAATAACAAACTAGAGATTCATCACCATTATAAACCTCTCAATAACAAACTAGAGATTCCTCACCATTATAAACCTCTCAATAACAAACTAGAGATTAACCATCATCATAAACCTCTCAATAACAAACTAGAGATTCATCACCATTATAAACCTCTCAATAACAAACTAGAGATTCGTCACCATTATAAACCTCTCAATAACAAACTAGAGATTCGTCACCATTATAAACCTCTCAATAACAAACTAGAGATTCGTCACCATTATAAACCTCTCAATAACAAACTAGAGATTCATCACCATTATAAACCTCTCAATAACAAACTAGAGATTCATCACCATTATAAACCTCTCAATAACAAACTAGAGAAAGTTAATCTTATCATCCTAGATAGGATTTTAATACATAATTTCCCCCTCCCAGTTTCAGCTGTTTCCCTTGCAGCCCCTCCTGCCAACCCCTCTACCCTCCCTGGTAGAGCCTTCATCAGAAATCACAGGATGGCTCTAAAGACTCGCCTGGGACTCTTACAGCCCATATGCCTGCGTCTCCAGGATCGTGGGGTTCTGATTGACGAGGAGAGGGAGGAGGTGGTCAGCAAATCCAACAAGACCCTACAGAACCAAGCCCTGCTGGACATGGTGGTGAGGAAGGGGGCTCGCGCCCAGGAACACATCTACCAGGTCCTGAAGGAAGTAGATCCCTACCTGGTCGAAGACCTGGAAGAGCAGACAGTCTGAGACAGGTGCCATGGATACCACCTCACAACCTTTAGAAGATATCAAAACATTTATCAGCGACAGAGAACAGTACTTTGAGGAGGAGCCATCCTGACCAGAGGTGGTTGATGTGTAACGTGATTGGACCCCATTCTCACCAGCACTTCCATCAGTCTGTAGTTTACTATACAAGCCCCAGGTCTCAGGCAAGGTGACATCACTGTGAGGCTACTGTCTACCAGACAACCTACCTGTGTTACTCTGGTACACTGGCTGCAGACTACAAGATCAGGGACTCTATTCTTTATAGTCTCCCAATATAAAGGAGGAATATTTATGTTTTATATTTGTAAATATCTGTATATTGAATTTCTATCTGGAACATGTTGAATGTTGAATCATCCTGGACAGGTCTCAGGCAACAACATGTGAGACTTAACATCTAGCAGACAACTGACTGGACAGCTGCACTGGCTGAACACAATATCAATATATATCTCTGTTTAGATATAGTGTATATGTTTATATAATGGTATCTTTAAGAGCATCTTTTAAATTGTAATGTCATTATGTTCCAACAAAGGGGACTAGTGGGCTCCTTTTATGATAGATAAAGAGAAATAGACTCTCACTCTTATAGTAAATAGAAATAGACTCTCACTCTTATAGGAAATAGAAATAGACTCTCACTCTTAAAGGAAATAGAAATAGACTCTCACTCTTATAGGAAGTAGAAATAGACTCTCACTCTTATAGGAAAGAGAAATAGACTCTCACTCTTATAGGAAATAGAAATAGACTCTCACTCTTATAGGAAATAGACTCTCACTCTTATAGGAAATAGAAATAGACTCTCACTCTTATAGGAAGTAGAAATAGACTCTCACTCTTATAGGAAACAGAAATAGACTCTCACTCTTATAGGAAATAGAAATAGACTCTCACTCTTATAGGAAATAGAAATAGACTCTCACTCTTATAGGAAATAGAAATAGACTCTCACTCTTATAGGAAAGAGAAATAGACTCTCACTCTTATAGGAAAGAGAAATAGGCAAAAATGTATCTCTTGAGATTAAATATATATATATTTTTCTACCATTTCGACATTAATCAGACTGAATCTCAGGGACTCATTTCACTCTCAGGGAAATATGGTATATTTTGTAGTGTAGAAATATCTGGGATAGTGTTTTATAATTGCATTAATCTATTTAATCTCTCTGTCTCAATTCAATTCAATTGAGATTACAAATGTACAGTGCATTTGGAAAGTATTCAGACCCCTTGACTTTTTCCACATTTTGTGACATTACAGCCTTATTCTAAAATGGATTAAATAAAAACATTTCCTCATCAATCTACACACAATATCCCATAATGACAAAGTGAAAACAGGTTTTTAGAAATGTTTGCAAATGTATTAAAAATAAAAAACAAATACCTTATTTACATAAGTATTCAGACCCTTTGCTATAAGACTCGAAATTGAGCTCAGGTGCAACCTGTTTCCATTGATTTTCCTTGAGATGTATTTACAACTTGATTGGAGTCCACCTGTGGTCAATTCTATTGATTGGACACGATATGGAAAGGCACACACCTGTCTAAATAAGGTCCCACAGTTGACAGTGCATGTGAGAGCAAGAACCAAGCCATGAGGTCGAAGGAATTGTCCGTAGAGCTCCAAGACAGGATTGTGTCGAGACACAGGGAAGAAAAACTTTTCTGCAGCATTGAAGGTCCCCAAGAACACAGTGGCCTCCATCATTCTTAAATGGAAGAAGTTTTGAACTACCTAGACTCTTCCTAGAGCTGGCCGCCCGGCCAAACTGAGCAATCGGGGGAGAAGGGCCTTGGTCAGGGAGGTGACACTCCCCATTCAACCTGACAGAGCTTGTGAGGATCTGCAGAGAAAAATGGGAGAAACTCCCCAAATACAGGTGTCCCAAGCTTGTAGCGTCATACCCAAGAAGACTCAAGGCTGTAATCGCTGCCAAAGGTGCTTCAATAAAGTACTGAATAAAGGGTCTGAATTCTTATGTAAATGTGATATATATATATATATATATATTTATATATATATATACACTGCTCAAAAAAATTAAGGGAACACTAAAATAACACATCCTAGATCTGAATGAATGAAATAATCTTATTAAATACTTTTTTCTTTACATAGTTGAATGTGCTGACAACAGAATCACACAAAAATTATAAATGGAAATCAAATGTATCAAATCAGATCAAATCAAAACAAAATTTATTGGTCACATGCGCCGAATACAACAGGTGCAGACATTACAGTGAAATGCTTACTTACAGCCCTTAACCAACAGTGCATTTATTTTTAACAAAAAAAGCAAAAATAAAACAACAACAAAAAAAGTGTTGAGAGAAAAAAAAAGAGCAGAAGTAAAATAAAGTGACAGTAGGGAGGCTATATATACAGGGGGGTACCGTTGCAGAGTCAATGTGCGGGGGCACCGGCTAGTTGAGGTAGTTGAGGTAATATGTACATGTGGGTAGAGTTAAAGTGACTATGCATAAATAATTAACAGAGTAGCAGCAGCGTAAAAAGGATGGGGTGGGGGGGCAGTGCAAATAGTCCGGGTTGCCATGATTAGCTGTTCAGGAGTCTTATGGCTTGGGGGTAGAAGCTGTTGAGAAGTCTTTTGGACCTAGACTTGGCACTCCGGTAACGCTTGCCGTGCGGTAGCAGAGAGAACAGTCTATGACTAGGGTGGCTGGAGTCTTTGACAATTTTGAGGGCCTTCCTCTGACACCGCCTGGTATAGAGGTCCTGGATGGCAGGTGGATGGCTATCAACCCATGGAGGTCTGGATTTGGAGTCACCCTCAAAATTAAAGTGGAAAACCACATTACAGGCTGATCCAACTTTGATGTAATGTCCTTAAAACAAGTCAAAATGAGGCTCAGTAGTGTGTGTGGCCTCCACGTGCCTGTATGACCTCCCTACAACGCCTGGGCATGCTCCTGATGAGGTGGCGGATGGTCTCCTGAGGGATCTCCTCCCAGACCTGGACTAAAGCATCCGCCAACTCCTGGACAGTCTGTGGTGCAATGTTGGTGGATGGAGCGAGACATGATGTCCCAGATGTGCTCAATTGGATTCAGGTCTGGGGAACGGGCGGGCCAGTCCATAGCATCAATGCCTTCCTCTTGCAGGAACTGCTGACACACTCCAGCCACATGAGGTCTAGCATTGTCTTGCATTAGAAGGAACCCAGGGCCAACCGCACCAGCATATGGTCTCACAAGGGGTCTGAGGATCTCATCTCGGTACCTAATGGCAGTCAGGCTACCTCTGGCGAGCACATGGAGGGCTGTGCGGCCCCCCAAAGAAATGCCACCCCACACCATGACTGACCCACCGCCAAACCGGTCATGCTGGAGGATGTTGCAGGCAGCAGAACATTCTCCACGGCGTCTCCAGACTGTCACATCTGTCACGTGTTCAGTGTGAACCTGCTTTCATCTGTGAAGAGCACAGGGCGCCAGTGGCGAATTTGCCAATCTTGGTGTTCTCTGGCAAATGCCAAACGTCCTGCACGGTGTTGGGCTGTCAGCACAACCCCCACCTGTGGACGTCGGGCCCTCATACCATCCTCATGGAGTCTGTTTCTGACCGTTTGAGCAGACACATGCACATTTGTGGCCTGCTGGAGGTCATTTTGCAGGGCTCTGGCAGTGCTCCTCCTGCTCCTCCTTGCACAAAGGCGGAGGTAGCAGTCCTGTTGCTGGGTTGTTGCCCTCCTACGGCCTCCTCCACATCTCCTGATGTACTGGCCTGTCTCCTGGTAGCGCCTCCATGCTCTGGAGACTACGCTGACAGACACAGCAAACCTTCTTGCCACAGCTCGCATTGATGTGCCATCCTGGATGAGATGCACTACCTGAGCCACTTGTGTGGGTTGTAGACTCCGTCTCATGCTACCACTAGAGTGAAAGCACCGCCAGCATTCAAAAGTGACCAAAACATCAGCCAGGAAGCATAGGAACTGAGAAGTGGTCTGTGGTCACCACCTGCAGAACCACTCCTTTATTGGGGGTGTCTTGCTAATTGCCTATAATTTCCACCTGTTGTCTATTCCATTTGCACAACAGCATGTGACATTTTTTGTCAATCAGTGTTGCTTCCTAAGTGGACAGTTTGTTTTCACAGAAGTGTGATTGACTTGGAGTTACATTGTGTTGTTTAAGTGTTCCCATTATTTTTTTGAGCAGTGTATACAGTGGGGGAAAAAGTATTTAGTCAGCCACCAATTGTGCAAGTTCTCCCACTTAAAAAGATGAGAGAGGCCTGTAATTTTCATCATAGGTACACGTCAACTATGACAGACAAAATGAGAAAAAGAAATCCAGAAAATCACATTGTAGGATTTTTAATGAATTTATTTGCAAATTATGGTGGAAAATAAGTATTTGGTCAATAACAAAAGTTTCTCAATACTTTGTTATATACCCTTTGTTGGCAATGACACAGGTCACACATTTTCTGTAAGTCTTCACAAGGTTTTCACACACTGTTGCTGGTATTTTGGCCCATTCCTCCATGCAGATCTCCTCTAGAGCAGTGATGTTTTGGGGCTGTCGCTGGGCAACACAGACTTTCAACTCCCTCCAAAGATTTTCTATGGAGTTGAGATCTGGAGACTGGCTAGGCCACTCCAGGACCTTGAAATGCTTCTTACGAAGCCACTCCTTCGTTGCCCGGGCGGTGTGTTTGGGATCATTGTCATGCTGAAAGACCCAGCCACGTTTCATCTTCAATGCCCTTGCTGATGGAAGGAGGTTTTCACTCAAAATCTCACGATACATGGCCCCATTCATTCTTTCCTTTACACGGATCAGTCGTCCTGGTCCCTTTGCAGAAAAACAGCCCCAAAGCATGATGTTTCCACCCCCATGCTTCACAGTAGGTATGGTGTTCTTTGAATGCAACTCAGCATTCTTTGTCCTCCAAACACGACGAGTTGAGTTTTTACCAAAAAGTTC